AAAAAGAAGTAGAAGAAGGAGAAGGAGAAAAAGAAGAAGATGTAGAAGATGAAGAAGAAGAAGAAGAAGAATAAGAAGGAAGAGAATAATAAGAAGGAGAATAAAAACAAAAATTAAAATTGACACAAAACTATATTCACTACTAATACAAGTACTATTAATACTAATGGTATTTCTGTTACTACTACTACTACTACTACTACCACTACTACTACTACTACTACTGCTACTACTACTACTACTGCAACTACTACTACTTCTACTACTACTACTACAACAACGACTACTACTACTATTACTGCAACTACTACTACTATCATGCATGTATATATATACATTTTCTACATACAAATGTTTTATATTTATATGCACTTATGTTTACCATTTATTGCATGTAGGTATATAAATAGAACATACACTGCTGAATGCTTATGGGAGTTGTATGTTTGCATGTGGACATACAAACAAATATACATACATACATATACATACATACATACATACATGCACACATACATACATACTACATACATAGATACATGCATACACACATGCACGCATACATACAGCCAAACGATTTGTTTATGTATTCGCTTGCATCTCCAGCTTTGCAGGGAGAATTTTTATTTTGAATGAATTTTTTTACATTTAACATTTTAAGTTAACATTAAAACACGTTGCTGTAGTTAATTGAAATTGATTGCTTTCCTAAATAAGGTTTGGATGGGAATATTTTTTAGAATTTGAAAATATCGGTTTAAACTTTAAATTTCTATTTTTCCATTTATTAAATTAACGTCATTAATCTCTTTAGTGATCATGTCAGTGTGATAAAATTGTTAAATTAAACAGAAAGATTAGCTTTTTTGGTTTAATTTTTTAAAATTAAAATGATTTAAATTTTAAATTTGAAAAAAAGATAAATTCACTTTTCAAACCGAAAGGATCGCCCATAGAAGAAATACCCAAAATGAAAGACTTGGACAATTTGAAGAAGGAACTTGAGATGGTACGTCTGGGTTTCTATTTTTCAATATTTTTTCTAGAACCATATCTTGTTTTTCATTTCANATTTGACTACNATGACGATGGTGATGGTGATGATGTTGTAGATGACGATGTCGATGTTTATGATGATGACGACGATGATGATTTGAAATTTTACGGTTTCATTCCTTGCTATAACTTTTTACCGCCACAAAAGAAGAAAATAAAAGACATACTCTAATCCATTGGAAAAATGAATATGAGGATGATGATGACGATGATGATGAAAGTTTTAACGGTAATGATGATGACGACGATGATGAAGACTCTGATGATGACTAATTTAAATAGTATAATACTGACAATTTGAATGCTAATTATGTTGATGAGAAAAACTTGAAGCCAGGGCCCGAGGCAATTTCAAATGAGATTTAACATATCGTCTTATCCTTCAGACTAACTTAATCATAGACACACACACACACACACCACACACACACACACACACACACTCGCACACAAACACCACACACACGCACACCACACACGCGCGCGCACACACACATCAAACACGCACACACAGTATATAAAACAAAATGTTATTATCGTTTTAATAGCTATCCAAAAAAATTAATTGAATGCTCATCTCCAATGAATGAAAATTGTTAAGATAGAATTTATATAGATAGGGTTTTATCTTGTATTTATAAGTGTATATTTAAATGTGTGTGTGTATTTGTGTGTGTTTGTTTGTGTGTAAGTGTATGTGTTTGCGTGTTTGTGTGTATGCGTTTGTGTGCATGTGTTTGTGTATGTGTGCGTAAAAAAGTTATAAATAATTTATATATTAAGGTTGTTTCGTTTGAAAAACAACCCATCTAATAAGAAGGATGATTTTTTTTCAGTAATAAAGTTTTGAATGGTTAAGGCGCTTGATCTTTATACTGTCGCTTTTACCTAGTTCGAATGCAATAGGAACCCTACCTATCACGTACAACGTGTGCAGTAGGTGAGTTTGAGCGTACTCACATGCATTTGTGTGAGACTGTTGTTGTTGGTGGCTCTGATAATTTATGGAAACTCAAGAATAATGATGATTTTATTACGTTAATTTGTTAATGAATTAATTTGGTCTGTTGATTGTTACCAAATCGACCCAATTATATACTACTCTTGTTTACAAATTTCTTTAGAAGTAATAATTTTTCAAAATATTTTAATATAACTTCACTCTCAAGCTAGGTCTGCTCTAGCTTTGTTAGCAATTTTCTGAAAAAACTTTTTACCCTCTACTCCGACCAATATCAAGGCCGGATTGAATGACCTTGGGGTCATGGGTGAGCCTGAAGCCCCGTTTGTATTGCCCTAAATTTGACCTCCGCCATTGTTTTTTGGAGAATATTTATAAAATATTTAAAAATAAGTTTGTGTTTGGTGTTATACACATTGACGTTTGGTAAAATACCCATATTATGCGCACAATAAAACATTTAACATTCGTGAAGTCCTTGTGTCACTTGTTGAATACCACCACATTTCAACTACTACAAAGTGTTAAAGACCAGGTCAATGGTCGCCAATCTTCTAAAAGGATAAGGCGCGAGAGAGAAGAAGAAGATAACGTTTAAAAACACACAAACACTCGCATAAACAACAAATGACTTGTTATGTTTTAGTCTATTGCTACAGACAACTTAATATAACATATATATATACTGGGTATATACGCACGTCTTAACTAGCAGACCTTAGATCAAATCTCATTAACACCGTTAGGAAAACCATGCTCATCATAATTCTTTTTTTTCCTTATTATTCTTGAAAAGAAATGAAAAAAAGACTTCTTTTTTTAAAGACATCTGCGGTTGGATGTTTCCAAGATATTTTTTGAAGAAAGTATTGTAGAGAAAATTGAAATAGTACTTGTACGAATAAATATATTATTTTATTTTTAAATTCACACTTTAATTTGAATTTTATTTTTGGAAAGAAAGGTTTGAAGTCCGAAATTCCTCTTACTTCAATTCTGATTTTTTTTTTATCTTAAATGATATCAAAATTATGTTTCTTCTATTGATGAATAATTATAAACAGTAACAAACGATGTTCAATTAAGATAATTAGGATTAAGTATGTCATTAAACTTTCTAAATTTAATTAATTAATTAATTTTCAGTTGAAATACCCGCAAGAAATAATTTAAGAAAAATATTTTTTTTTTGAAATTTTCAAAAATTCAGGACGAGCACAAGTTGCCACTGAATGAACTCGTCGACAAACTTGGAACGGACACCGAAAAAGTATTTTGATGTTCTTGTTTATAAGAACAATACTATTATTATTGTTGTTGTTATTATTATAAAAAAAGAGCAAGAGAGAGAGAGAGAGAGAGAGAGAGAAAGAGAGAGAAGAAGAAAGAGAAAAGAGAGAGAGAGAGAGAGAGAGAGAGAGAGAAAAATAAAATTTAGCAAAGTAAAATATAGAAGCAAAATAGTAAAACCCTTCAGAAGCTTCAATCAAAAGAAATCTCATTCTGTGAAACTTTTGTTCTTCACAATACTATTTTTTGCCATCAATCATCTTTCACGTCTGCGTGCCATTATGTATATTTATTTTATGTTTATTTATTTTACGATTTTTTATGATGAGATTTTACATTTCGATAAGGTTTTTATGGAAAACTGGTAAAGAAAGCTTCGTGTAGCTAAGTAATCGAGATGAAATTTATTTTTAAGCTATTGAAATTGCCACCAAAAACATATATAAACTAGGATTTCAGAATTAAATAGATGAAAACAAGATGATAAAATTTGTGTGTAGACAGAAAAAAATGAGATATTCTTGTTTATTTTAAAAGAATCAAATTTCTCGTTATTATTTCGAGACGGAAGACGAAACGAAACGCCGAACTGATGTGGTTTAGTTGTTGTCTTTATGCTGCAATGGCCTTTGAGTGCGTGATATCAATACTTAGGCTATACCGTTGTTATGGTTATTACTAGGTGTGCATGTGTGTATGTATGTATGTATGTATGTATGTATGTATGTATGTATGTATGTATGTATGTATGTATGTATGTATGTATGTATGTATGTATGTATGTATGTATGTATGTATGTATGCATGTATGTATGTATGTTTGTATGTATGAATAAATGTTTGTATGCTTTTCGTGTTTTTTTGTCATCAAAGGTATTGATCTGTTCTAGGTAGCCCCAGTACATGTATTTGATGAAAGCGTTTTTCTCATATAAAAATGTATTCGAATTTTTCTTTCTGAACGAGTGTTCGACTGTTTTTACTCTGATATTTATTTATTTAGTTGTTTGCTGTTGTTGTTCGGATGGATATTGCTAGAGTTTTTTCCACAATAAATCTACGTCTTTTGAAATAACTCATAAAGAATTTTTTTTTATATGAACTAGATTATGCGTGAGGCGTGCAAAAATGTCACCCACAAACTCAATAAATTTGATAATTTCTATGAAATCGTTGATAAAACATGTCAATTTCCCAGTTGTAAACTATCAAAAATGCTTTGACGTAATTTTTATACATACTATACATATCAGATGCATGTGTATCTTTATGACATTTATACATACGAGATACTTGTGTATCTTTTTACTTGTGATACTCATACATAAATTTGATATGAATGTATTATATTAAGATATTTTTATTTATTACTCTTGCATGCGTGCATACATAAAGGGACACCCAAATGTTTTGTATAAATAAATAATGAAATATATATATATATAAGTGCGTGTGTGTTTGTGTGTGAGTGTGTGTGTGTGTGAGTGTGTGTGTGAGAGTGTGTGTGTGTCAGTGCGTGTGTGTGTGTCGTATCGTATCGTCGGTGGATTCAACATAGGGTGCGGTATTGTATACTTCCTTATCGCTGCTATGCTTCTCTACTGAGCTTGAATTTGCATTTTTTTTTCATTGGAATACGTGATGGTTAGTTTCTGTTTGTAGTGCTTGTTTGTGATTTGTGTGTGTGTGTGTGTATGTATGTGTGCATGTGTGTGTTTACGTTCTGTGTGTTTACCTGTAGGCATTGTAAAAGTTTTATGTGGATTCTGTATGTTTTTATATGGGCCGTGTGGGCCTATGTATGTTGAATGTTTTAAAGTATATGTGCGTGTATGTTGTTGTGTATAAATAAATATATATATATATATATATATATGTGTGTGTGTGTGTGTGTGTGTGTGAATGAATGAGAGAATGAATGAATGAATGAATAAATGAACAAAGGAGTGAAAGATTAATTAGGAGCTTAGCAGACATCGTACGTTTAATATCATCAGCAACAACAGGTGTAAAAAATATAAAAGCATTTTATTATCAACGGTGGATACATAAATTTTCTTAACTAATTAAAAGTTCAAAGATATAAACAATCAAACAAACAGCGAAACAAACACGCAAACACACAAACGAACGAACGAACAAACGAACGAACGAACAAACGAACGAACACACAAACCATTATGAGTCCGCATTGATACCTTCATTTAGAATACTTATTCGAAATCTTACTGCTAGGGTTTCAAAATTTACAATTTGTAAATGTATTCTTGGTAGTTCTGTCAGGCCACATTTGAATCTTATACTGCATTCACTATCTGCCTTCGTTTAAAATCGCCGTGTTCGTTTTAACATCAGCCATATATGTATATATACATTTGTGGTGCAATTTATTTGCACACATACACCTGGCATACTCACACAGATAAACACACATACATGCCAATACGCACACACACACACACGAAAACACACACAGACACACACACACGTACATTCGTGTTTACACACCTGTGTTTGTCTGGATTAATATACGTATCCTCAAATTGGATTTCAACACAATTATTCAAAAATTCAACACTGTTATTATTTATTTGACAACATTTTATTGTATTGGCACGAGATTATGAATTTTTCAAGAATAATATTGGAAAAAATAAAATTTGCCGATAAAATGATCTTACTTGTCACGCATTTAACATTTTCACTTGGGTTTTTGGGTTAACGTTGTATAAATAGAAATAATTTTCAGTTTCAGGTTGAAATATACAAACATTTCCCATAAAATACATTTTTTTGTTTGTATTCCCAAAAATTTTTCAAGAATATTGCTCCATAGCTTGTACTCATTTCGGATGTCAATCACTTTGACTAATGGATTCTACCAGGCGAAATATTCTCCTATAATTTTTTATTCTCTGCTATTTTCTGCAAGAATGTTTCATATTATTTTTATTTTTTTTTGGCAATTTTTTCATCATTTCTATACACTGACTGTATGCATTATGAAGGTGTCAGGTTACAATTATAATGTATATAACTGCTATCCTTTTATAGGGTAAAACTTTTCACATGTGTGCAAGCCAACGCTGGTAAAAATTTTAAAAATCTCATGGATCATTTATGAAATTTTTATAACTTTATTTAAATTTTAATTGATTATTTCTAAAAGTTGTTATTGATTATTTTTAAAAGTTTTGAAAACTAGAGTATAGCAAAACTACATGAAAAAATGTGTTTATATTTTTTTTACGCAAAAAAATAGGACATCGTCAATAGTTTTTAGAGAATTTCCTCTCAAATTTATTGATTTTTTTTTACAGGAAATGTCAAAAATACACTACAAAATGAGCAGGAAAACACATGTGTTTGTAGATATTGATTTTGCATGTGTGTATGTTGGTTGCGCGTCTAGGCTAAGCTCTACTTAATCATTGACGACGATACAGATTTCATTGATTCTTGTAATGCAAACATGCATGCAACTATGTTTGTTTGTATGTATGTATGTATGTATGTATGTATATATGTATGTATGTATGTATGTATGTATGTATGTATGTATGTATGTATGTATGTATGTATGTATGTATGTATGTATGTAGGTATGTATGTATGTATTATTTATTATTATTATTATTAAGGATAACTTCTAGAGCGCCCATTAAATGTTCTCACAGGCGCTCTCAAAAATAAAGCAATTATATACGTGACAAACAAAATAGTACAAAATCAAGTAGTACAGAATTCAATGTAATTTCAACAAAAATAAAAATGTCTTTAAATCTTTTTTAAATGCTCGAAGATGAAGCCCAGGCTTTCTTAGTGGTGCAGGGAGATTGTTCCACACAGTAGGACCAGCGATTGCAATATCACGCGAACCAATCTGTAAAAACGCCACTGGCACCCTCAAGAGATTCATATCATCTGATCGAAGATGGAAACCAGAAGTGATTCTTTGCTGGTAAATTTATCAGTTATGTAATCCGGTGACATTCCATTCA